TTTTCCCGCGTGTAAACGCGACAGTTAGCGCGTTCAATTGGCCAACGAGTCCCTGCGATTTGCGCGAACTAATCGAAATAATCGAGAAACTCGGAGGTCTCCTGTCGGTGAAACGACTCGCCCCGAAGAGTTACCGTTCAAAGCAGTCGATCGCGAGGTTGAGCCAAGCACGAATAACCGGAAGCAGCTTGCGCAGCCAGGAGTGATGAGAGCAGGGCGGTGAATCGCCGGCGCGATCCCTTTGACGCGCAATGAGGATTATCGAGCGCGGAAATCTCCGAGGAAATTTCGGAATCGCGGGGCTTCTCAGAAGTAGCACGCAGCTCCAGCTGGCAGTTCCTCAAAGGGCTCGCGAACGCTTCTCCCCCTTGTGCGTGTTTCTAATTCGACATCCGCGAGATGTGTCCTCGTTACTTCTCCCCCACTTGCCCGCTCGAGACGACGGCCCCGAAGTTCCTCGGAAATTTTCCATCCCGCGCGAGGGTCGGCGCCGCGGTCGAAAAAGCCCCGACAAACGTTTCCTCCGGGTCGTTACTTCCTGCGGAGGGCACGACGGGCGAAAGAAGGTCGCGCGCAACCCTATTTCGGGTCCAGAATAAAGGAGGAAGAGGGGCAGAGAGAGAAGAGAGAAGAGAGAGAGAGAGAGAGAGAGAGAGAGAGAGAGAGAGAGAGAGAGAGAGAGAGAGAGAGGATAACCCTGCGCATACGCCGCAGGACTCCCGTTTAATCGTGTTAATATTCTTTGTTTCCCGTTTTGCGACTTCTTATCCGCCCATTCTGCTCCGCCCCGCCTCTCCTCTCTCTCTCTCTCTCTCTCTCTCTCCCTCTCTCTCTCTCTCTCTCTCTCTCTCTCTCTCTCTCTCTCTTCTCCCTTCTCTCTCTGCGCGAGGGAGAGCGTCGTTCGCGAAGGGAAATGCGAGAAAGCGGGGGTGGATTAAAATTTCGCGCTACGATAACCTTCGCGGAACTTTCACCCTCGCCTCATTCTCGAGTCTCTCCAGAAGCCGGAGAAGCCCGTCGCGCGATTCTCCCTCCCCCCTCCCCTCTTGGCATACATCTAACCCATAAAACGTCGCGGTAAAACGGTAATTCTCACATCACCATAAGAAAGTTGCGCGCTCTACGTTCCCGAAAACGAAAATCTCGGTGAAGTATGATGATAGAAAATAACGGCGGCATATAATCGCTGCTGCAATATTTTCCCTCGCTCGTTCGAGAGATATCGAAGGAGGATTCGTCGGTAAGAGGGTAATAAGATTAAACTCGACACCCCCCCCCCTCCCCCGTCCAAGTGCCGGAATGTATTCACAAAGTTAGACGAGGTGCATCTGCCGAAAGATCCCGGTCTATCGAAAAAGCGTATCGGACACTTCCCAAGTAAGCTCGAGGTAATCCGCCCCGCGCCGCCGCTCCTCTTTCATAAAATGCAAATCGCCATGCATGCTTTCCCGACGCGTTTAATAAAAGACCTCAAAGGGAGACAAGCCGCCGTCGTCGTCGCCGCCGGTTTACTCGAGTCTTGCCGGAAAACTTGGAAATTTATAGTCGAATTTCACGCTTTCTCTCTCACACACACCTACACAGAGACACACACGCGCGCGCGCACATTCGCTCTCTTGCTCTCTTCCTCCGTGACGCGGCAGAAGGAAGAGAAAGGCGATTTCCGTTCGCGTAATATTCAATTACGTTGTCCGCCTTCTGGAAATCGTAATTGCTTTCGAAACTACTACGGAGTGCCTCTTTGCTCGCTTCGGCGCGAGACGGTGTATTCTGACCGAGGTCCCGAAGGAAGAAAGCGATTCCGGCGCGGCTCTCCTTCTCTTTCTCTCTCTCTCTCTCTCTCTTTCTCTTTCTCTGATCCTCGACCTTCTCTCCGTCACGCTGCGAAATCCCGCGAAACTTATAATGAAGAGATTTTTGCTGCGCCGCGTCGCGTCGCACCGCGCCGCGAGCGCTTAATTAACATTGTGTTTACACCTGGGAACAGGTAAAGAGCACCGAAGCGGAGGGCGCATTTGCTCTCGGTAATTATTCATGTCAATCACGATTAATCGGCAGCTGTCGCGGCGAATAATGTCGCTCTCGACTCAGCCTTTGCTGAAATGCCTTGCGACTCGGAGAGCGCGCGAGCGCGTTCGCGGAAGCGTGAAATATTCTTCCCGACAATTCGCCAACACCATCCCGGTCGATTCTTCTTCAATCGATTCTTCTGCCGTTGTGAGTGAGTGTGTCTTTAAAATGAAGAATTTAGCGCGCGCTTTTCGGCGCCAATCTCGCCAAGGAATATCTAAAACAACTCAAGGGCTTGTGTTATCTGTCGTCCGAGATGAAAACGCAACGTTGATGATTCTAAGAATGATTTCGTAATTCTTTCGTTTCTTTTTTCTTTCTTTATAATTTTAAACGCGTAGTAGGCTATTTCGAAGACGAACCGAGAGAGAACGGGAGAGCAGAAATTACAAGACGCCCCGACGACGATCCGCACTTCGCTCCGTTTCCGCATCACTTCGATCGTCCGTCGCGATTTTGCCGGTTCTCGCGGAACTCGAGAGACCGCAGCCGCTGCATATATATGCAGCCAAGTTCGTAAATGAATATTTCCCGAAAATATTCCCCGACGCACGGATGAAGTTCGCACTGGATCAGAAGAGAACACCCACGTGTTGGTGGCGAGGACGATCGGAGCGAAACGAGACTTCCAGCGTGGGGGAGCCCCTCCTCGCCCACCTTCGCGCAACTTGTTAGCAATTCCCTTCCTACGGCGAAATGTATTTCTATGGAAGTTAGACAAGCGTCGTTTACCCGTCGTGAGAGCGGCGCGGCCGGCGAGACAGAAGGGAAATTCCGTTTCCCGGCGGCGAGAGAGGAGGAACCATGGGCGAAGCGGATCGCAGACGCCGAATAAATTAACGCCGCGCAGCAACGCGCGCGTCTCGTCGATGGACGCAGACGACGCGTAAAACGCGCCGATTGTCCGCGACGGAGAGCAGCCTCCCCTCTCCGACTCGGGATTCAACGAACGATCTCTCCCCCGGAATTCCCGTCGTTTGCGGGAAAACGCAGATATACCGCCGGACGCGGAGATGCAAGTATAAAAGCCGGAGGGGCGACGTCGACGGTGAAGATGACGGCGGACGAGGAAAAGGCTAAAGGCTAGAGGCACTGGAGAAGTGCCTTCGCTGACGACAAGGGGATGGGGGCGGAGGAGAGGGTGAGGGGATAGGGAGAGAGCGAGGAGACGGGACAAGGGTCGACCGGCACTTCTCTCGAACAAAGTTAAGGTGAGGGCTGCGAGTGATGATGACTAATGTACGTGCGAGCAATTTACATCCCACTTTCCTTGCTGCGAGAGATATCCCGCCGCGTTCTGCTCGCGTATCCCGGACCCTCCTCTCTCTCTCTCTCTCTCTCTCGTTTCTCCTCTCTCCGGTCGGGAGGAAGCAGCGGATGGCGAAGAAAAGCGAGACGAAGACGCGAGAGGCAGACTCCACTTCGTCCCGTAAGTTCTCGTCGACGTATCGTCGACCTTCCTGCCAGCCGCGTCTTCCCTCCTCGCCAAGCCGCCCTAAAACCGCCCTCTAAAACCCTCCGAAGTACTGAGCGCGACGTATCGGCGGGGGTTGTCTGCGAAGAGAGCGCGCCGAGCAGCCATCAAGCCGACGTTTTGGCAAATTGCCTCTGTTTTTATCATGTGGGAATATTCCTGCGGCCGACATTCGGCCCGGATGTGTATGCGTATATAGCGACGGCGCGGCGGGGCGACTTTCGCGGGATTAGGTCGTTAAGCGGGGGTTGTTCCTTTTAGCTCGGACGCGGTAGGAGTGCGCTGTAAAACTGCGAGCACCCCCTCTCTCCTCTCTGCATCTGTCTCGCCGTTGTGCGTTGCCGCGATTCGCGAGCGACGTGCTTGTAATTTCCGCCGGACTCTTTTTTTTTTCCCTTGAGCGCGAGATACAAGCGCGATCGCGTCCGCAAATGGCGGTGACATGGCGGCGGGAGGGGAGGGGGGGAGAGTCGCACGAGAAGGGGGACAGAAAGCGGATTTTCATTTCGATACGGGCACCCCTCGGTCGCGAGATCGTGATCTGCGCGAATAAAAAGCGAATCAGAGCTCGTCCGTGTCTTCTCGCGGATCTCGCGAGGGGAGGAAAATCGTCGCGGGTTCTTTCGGCTAACGAGATTTCAGACGCTGCGCTGAGAAGAATGCATGACATTTGGAATTACAATTGCACAACGAAATCATTGTGAAGCGGCCTTCGAGCAGACAGGGTTAACGCACGTTTAAGACACGTCCGTTCAGTCCGTTTGAATTATATTGAAGCATCGTCAGCGAAGATACAACGAACAGAAAAATGCTCGTTACACGATTGACAGATGTCACACTAGCGTCGCAATCAAACCATTCTCTCTCCGAGCTTCAAATAAAGTCGCCCCTGAAGAGTTAAAAAGAAAAAGTTTCTGCCGCGACAACAGAGAAACTAACTCGCCCTCATTATTCACGCAAGCGCGCGCGCGCGCGCGTGTGAATCCCGGCGAGAGAAATATCGCTCTTTTGAAATTCGCTCGCTACTACATTTCGCGCGCTCTCTCCCCATCAGGGGGGGGGGAGGGGAGGATGAGAGGATGTCCCGCATCGCGCATTGTGCCGGAGCGAACAAAAGTGGCAAACGACGGCGCGCGAGCCAACGACATGTGTCGGATACGAGAGCGGATGGAGCGGGATATAACGCCGCTGCGAAATACCTCGCGACGTCTTTGCCGCGCTCCTAATCGAGTTCACGGCGAATTTGTGTCTCAAAGGCAGCCTAACGACGTTATTCGGGCCCGAAAAACGTCGCGCAAAGGCCGACGATTAGTTATGCAGATTCGTATCACACGCGCCGTTAACATCGATTCATCGGCGAGATCCACCCTTGTCGGAGCGGCGGCCGCCCGAGACAATAAAGACAAAGAGAGAGGGGTTGGAGGGGGGAGGGGAGGGAGAGAGAAACAATGGGGGAGAGAGGGAGAGAGAAGAGGGTGTTCTTGCTCCGTCTATGGTAACACTATCAAAACGCAGCGTGTACCAAGGGGCGAGAGCGAGGAGTGGGGAGGGGGGAGGGGGAGGAGCGCTTCGCGATTTGCATTCTAATCGAGCGCTCGCACGCGGATTCCGCGGTCGTCTCGCGTCGTTCATATTCTAATGCCCGCCTATGAATCGCGCGTCGCAGTCGGGGCAACGAATAATCGCAACGAATAATAAGCAAATGTTAACGCAACGGATCAAGGGAGCGATCGATACCGCGAGGTGAAATTAATTCCGTTGGCGACGAGGGGGAGCAAGGAGTATAGGCGAGACGACAATCTCGTGAAATTTATCACAAGCAGTCCAATGAAATTTCGCCGAGACTAGACGCTAAGGTCGAGAGTTTCGTGTCCTTTGTTCCGCAATAATAAACGTGAATGCGATCGAGAATCCCCTCCGGGAAGGGGGAGCGTTCTCGAGTTTGATATCAAATTCCGCGATACCAGATTCAGGATTTTCGCAGATACTTCGCTAATATCGCGGTTGCACTCGAGTCGAAACGATGGCTCTGCATCAACCCTGCAAATTCCGTCGAACTTGAAGGGTTAATGGAGAATCCCAAGATATATAGCACTAGACAGACGTCGCTGTCCTACCTTGACGAGGCGAACGATTACTCATTGCCTCGTTTTCCACGTTGGGGCTTCGAGAAGCCCTGTTTCAGAATTACTTAACATTGGCTTATCCCGGTATTTCTCATGCGTCTGCATCTAATTTATTCGCAATTTCGATCGACAATGTATCGGCTAGGTGACTCACTCGATTACGAACAGATATATTTATTTATTTAATTATTAATAATATACGGGTCTGAACCCTTGGGTGTACAAAAATTGGGATAATAGTATAACGAATAAAAAGATTCTCGTACAATAAAAAGGGGAAAAAATGCGCGATGAGCAAATGTTAAATAATCTGCGGAGGATTAATGAGTAAATAAATAACAGATGCAACACATTTTTATTCTCATAAGCTCTTTTTCTTCTCTTCTCGATGTTGATATGGAGGAATCTGTAAAGGCGAAGTTCTGTAATCATGTGTCCGATAATGCTATATACGAGCAGAGTCTCAAATGTGTACGCGATACCATATCGAAGATAAATGGCAATGAAAAATGCGTTGGCACAATGTAATCGAGACGAGACTCAAGGCTCGGAAAGCATTATTGGACGTAAATATGTCAATATAATTTACAATAAATTCCAAGGTCACTGTCCACCGTTACAAATTATTTAAAATCTTTCATTAAGATTTAAGAGCACAATTAACGACAAGTTCTCACCGTTACTCAGCTGATTGAATGTTTCTTGTGTTGAAACAAATGTAGATTGACAAATATCTAGAGACTCATAGAGCTATAATTATTTATTAAATAATGGACATTAAAAGCTGTGGATAATGACCTACATTTCGACTCGGGTTTCCTCATATTCTAATATTCTAATATATTCTCTGATAAATTCGTTAGACATCCGTTAACATCGGGAACATCCATATGAAATAATGAATGATTTCACCTGGGAATACACGATGCCGTTGTCTGCTCTACTTGCATCTCGGCATTTTGCGTCCTTCGTCCTGGCTCGCTCTCCGATGCTCCGTCGTTGCGCTTCCTCATGGCACTCGCGATTTACCTGAAGAAACGTACGTGAATTGACGCGATTACAACGATACTTCCCGATAAGTGTTACGAATAGGCCCACGTTTCTTTAAGAATCCGGAATTTTTAACAGCGATGTGCTGCGCAGTCCGTGTTGCTTCGACGTTGGCGGCGACTCGAGACAATAATAACACGGCGGCGACACGTGCGCGAGTGTATGCAAACAAAGGCCGCGGAAAGTCATGCGCACCAAACGATAACTATTATCGTTCGAGAACGAATGACTCGACGAGCGCGAGATAACAAATAAGCGAAGATGGCAACAACTCACGGCGTCTCGTCACGGCGCGGAGCTTCAAGGTGATCGCTGATGTTTTTGCGCTTTCAGCTCCTCCCTCTCTCTTCGCTCCTGTTGAAGCTCTGGAATCCTCTGGAAATTTCCACCGTCTGTAAGAAACACAGAGCAAAACGACGGATTATGCCAAAGGGAAGTTGGCCGTTTCATTTTCCACTTAATTCTATTGTCTACCCGTTAATTAATTATTTCACATTTGCTTGCGGCGTATACTCTAGCCGCAGGCGAATAAATAAATTGGTGCATTGTTGTTTGCTGAGATAGTCGAGTATGAAATAAATGTTTCTTTAGTCTCTCTTCAGGGAACATTCGTTACAAAGATATTATATCTGTCACTTTCAAGTTCTCATCATTTTTCTCGTCATTTTGACAAATTTGATCCCTCAACACGCTACGAAGAGGAGAAGCCGCTTCTGGAGTTCCGTTCGAGTATGACTGGAATTTTGGTCAACAGCTCTCTCCCTTTTCCCCGCGATATAGTCCTGATTCCGACTTGACGTAAATTTCGCGCACACACACACATACATACATCCTCGCCTACTTCCTCAACATAATACAATATTGAGTTACAGAACGCGGTCGCGCGACGTCGGTCGGAAAAACTCGCCGCAGCGAGCAATCAATAATCCGCGCCGAGTCGAAAGCCGATACGGCCGGAACTGTCCCTTTCTCACGAGGCAACGCACTCTTCCGCTGCCTTCCCGACCTCATAACATTGATCAACGATTCCAAGGTGTAACTCGAATCTGCGAACGCGACGATATATCAATATACCGGCAGACAACGAGCTCTCGGGCGAGCGGGGGGCGGCCGAAGTAAATTCGAAGGCGTCGGGGATGAATGATTGAGGGTGAGTGCCAGCGAGAGTGATCTGGGCGTGAGGGGAAAGCAACCATGGCGAGGAGAGAGAAAGATAGGCAGAGAGAGAGAGAGAGAGAGAGAGAGAGAGAGAGAGAGAGAGAGAGAGAGAGAGAGAGAGAGAGAGGACAAGAGCGAAAACTACCCCTCCGGATCTTACGGCGCCACAACGTCGCAAACAACCTGGAGGCACATCCTCGTAGAGAAACGCGCCTCTCTCTCTCTCTCTCTCGACTGGTATCGATCATTAGTAAACGAAAACAATCGCGACTGCCGTGATCCCGGGGCTGTCCGGATGACAGCGAGGACTTTTGTTCCACTTGAAAACGTCGCGCACGGAGTGCCTCTCGGTGTCCGGGGGCGCCGCGAGCGGAACCGCAGTCGCGGAAAATCGCCCGCTTCGCTTCGGAGTACTCTCGTGCGAACGAATGCATTTGTGTAACGCCGTGCGTTATCGAGAGGGACGCGTCGATAGCCAGCGGTGGTGGCCGGGCGGCCAGCGCAGCATCGGGAATTCATTCGCACGAAATCGCGTCAACGTGGAAGCGCGACGCTCGCGCGCGCACGCGGGAGAGGTTAAACCCCGTTTAATCCCGCGAGAGCAGCTTCCGGTGTGTCGCGGTGGGACACACCGTTTTTCACAAGCGCGCGCGCACGCGGACATATTTGCGCGCGATTTTTCTGCTGATTCTCTTATTTTTATAGCGCGCGGCCGCGCCCGCCGGCGAAACAACAACAGCCTCCGAAAACGCGATCGTGATGTTTTCGTTTTTAAAGCCCCGGCGGCTTTGTGCCGACACCGATTTTCATTGTCCCAGCGGGGCTATCCTCTGCCGAATCACTCGCTAAGGCTAATTCGCGTCGGAAAGTAATCTCTGTTTACGGTGCGCGATTAATCTCCTATCGCTCACGCATATTTATTGCGGCGGCGGGCGTACGCTCGCTCGCTCGCTCGCTCGCGCGCGCGCGTGTTTGCGCACGGATGGCCGCGCGGGCGACACGCGGTTGCGGCCGCGAGATAGAATACGATCGGAAGGGTGGAAAAACACGGTGGCCGCGGTATTTTGCGGAAGGGTTCGAGCGGCTGCGACAGCGCCGTTCACCTCACGCACGCACGCACGCATACACGCCGTGTTTCATAAATTGCGGCTTGGCTCAGCTCGCTCGTCCAAACGAGGGACGCCGATGTCCTCTGTGATACTTTGCAATATCCTGCGTGGAAATTCACGACAGATTTTCGTGTGTCTCCGGTGAGAGAGCGTTCGCGACACTTGGTTCCTCTAATTAACGCGGGAATGCACTTTGTGGTCTCTATTGTATTATTTTCTCTAATCTATCTGTATTATTGATACTTAATAGCTATTCATCTATATAATCTATTGTATGATTTCGTACACCTAATATGAATGTGTAATAGGAAAATCAGCAGCGATCAAAAGGCGCGATTCCGCAGGTTCGATTGGAACGTCCTCGCGAATTCCGCCGAGTCTCTCGGTGACGACGACGAAGCGACGGGTCGAGAAATAACACGTTACCCGGTATAGCCGACAGTATCCGCACAAAGCCCTTTAATGGATTTCTACAATTTCACTTGCAGCGGCCGGACTGGTATTTAGCATGGGCCATGCGTATCCGATAATCGGGTGAAATTCATGCTCGTTGGATACTGTACAAACTCCGGTGTCGGTTCCAGCTATAATTCCTCGTTACGGAGCGTGGTCGTCGTCGTCGTCGTCGTCGTCGTCGTCGTCGTCGTCGGCTCATAACAGCGGAGAGACGTGGAGAGCGAGCGAGAAGGGGAAAGGAGGGCGAAAGAGGGAGAGAGGGAGAGAGAACCCGCGCGCCAGCATCCCTCTCTCGCTATTCTACTTTCAAATACCGCGAGAAACTCGCCAGCTGCGTGCGAATTTTATTCCGCACGCTTCGCGTCCTTTATAAAACGCGAAGGGTGCTCATAAATTTTCATCGATGCAGCTTAAGCGTTTAGCGCGCGCGCGCGCCTATTCTCCGTATTTATTATCGGCCTCGCCTTGTCCTCGCCATGTAGCGCGCGAGATTAAAACATTTCCGCTCTCGTGTCCCATCATTGCCGTTATCATCATCATCATCATCATTATTATTATTATTATTATTATTGCTACTACATAATTCGATCAATATCAAGTCGCACTTAAATCCACCAGAGACCCATCCGCAGGAAAATAATCAAAGAACCGATAATGGCCGATAATGGGCCATCTCGCGAAGGACCACGGCTAATGAGAAAACCGCCGGTGATACCGGAATGCGACCGATTCTCGATCTGTCTCCCATTAGCCCGCATCTTCCAGTGCAATTGCGCTCCGCGACTGCACACCATCGTCCGAGTTCTTGCGATCGAGCGGCTGCGGCGGCGATCTATTAATCACGCTTGCGGCGCGGCGGCCCAGCTGTTATTGGCCACCGTCGGCCAGATCAAAGGATTCGCGGGGAGGACGAGGCGAGAGGTCGACCGGGTGATGCGCGATGTGAGCTGCACGTCTAGACGGCTCCTCCGGGCGACGATTAGCCGCGTATCGTCCTGCGCTCATTACCGGATCTCGTCTGCACGTACGCACATACGCATGAGTAACGCGCCCGTTGTCCGTTACAGGGATGGCGCGCGCGTAATTCGCCCAGACTTGACATGCAGATCGTCCAGCTGTAGGATCTGCACATTGTTGCCGCGCAGGCTTGTCGCGCGGGTCAAGGTTCACACTTGCACGGAATCGATCTCACGAGGTAGCAGCGGAAACGTCGGCAACTCGAATGAGTCGGGGGACGAGCTGTTTCTCGCTGAATATTCGAGTCCCCGCACGCGCACGAGTCGAGCAGCGTCGACGCGAGCGACGAGAAGTCTTTAGCTTCCGTTCGATTTACCAGCGAACGCGAGCCAACGATACATCATTATTCCAATTGTCCAAAGCGCCGTTGTTAAGATTTCGCATCATCTATTAACCATTCGCACTCTGCTGCGTTTCTACTTCCGATTCGACCAGAGACGAGAGGAGTCGAATCCGTTTCAATTGTTCACTTCGATGGACCACATTTAGGAGACATCGAAGGAATCATGACGCGGAATCTCGCGAAATCCAACAGCTACGTCTGTCTTTCTTTTTTTTTATATTCTGCGCAGGTAAAACAGTTTATTGCGTCAGGTAGTACACCCTACGCGCAATCGAGGGTGCGAAGGATTAATAATGCTGACACGAATGAGGATAAGTGTGATGCGGGACGCAGTCGATAGTCGTCACCCCCTCCCCCCCCCGTGCGGCCATGTCGCGGTGGCGGAGCTACGTCGGTGGTAGCGCGTCATAAGCCGCGAGCAAAACTCCCGCGAGGCTGTAAATCCTAGCCCAGTAACCCATTCTGCAACACGGACTAAGCAATGACTAATGACTGGCCAGGGTTAGGGCGAGGCGGGGTGGAACGAGCCGCGCCAAGGCGAGGCCGTCGCTACGATGTATTGCGGTTTACGACAGATCGGCTGATCGGTACACAACTTTGCACTCCAACCCGCCGCGCCGCGTCATGGCGATCAAAAGGGCTCGCCGGGCCCGCGCACGGGGCAATGGGCCATCTTGTGTAATTAAATGTTTGCTTGTGGCCCCAAACCCCGACATTGTCAGGGGGTGCTCTTCGCGGGAGCAGCAAATGAATATCAAGACGCGATGTGTCTGAAGTTTGCGTCATTTTTTTCATGACAGCTTGCGGGCACATCGGACTCCAGTTGTCGGTCATCTTTCATGCTCGATTTTTCGAGCATTTTCTCGGCACATCCATTGATACAGCAATTGCTTTTTGAAGCAAGTCTAACTATCGAACGGTAAAAGCTGAGGCTCCACGCACCTGAGCTTATTCGAACAACTTTCAAGGGATAGGGAGAAAAATTTCTTTTCGAGCGGAACAGAGACTGGTCTTTGTAATTGATGCTCCACCGAAGAATAATAATAATAATAATAATAATAATAATAAAGTAGATACCGGTATAAATGGATATAACAAATGTGGTGCATCAAACGCGTGTCGCCTTACGAAAAAACTCAGATTGTTGTATATCCATCTCTCTTTCTTCCTCTCCGTCCCACGTCCTCGTTTCCATAATAAAGTAATTAATATCCCAGCGAAACGTGACGCATCTCGTCGACCGTCGCCGGCCTTCGCTCGTGCCGCTGCGACCCGAGGGTTCGAGAATAGCGCTGATTATAATTTAAAC